GTAAAGAAAAACATAACTTTACAATGGAAAAAACAGACAAGCACTATTTCAAGACAGGTAACTCAGGTTAACTTCAACAGTGATAAGTCATGTTGATAGTATCTATCCTTTATATGCTATAATGAGAATGGCATTTCACTTCAGTGATCTTCCAAAATCCTATTACCCAGCCTAATCCTGAGAAAAACATCAGACAAATCCCAACTGAGAGACTCTGTAAAAATTACTAGTACTTCTGAGAACTGTCAAGGTCATCAAAAACAAGGAAAGTCACAGAGACATCACAGATAAGAGGACCCTGAGGAAATACGTCTAAAAAATAAAATGTGGGATCCTAGAACAGAAAATGAATATTACAGAAAATGTGACTAAGAAAATGTGACTAAAGTATGGGCTTTAAAAAAAAAAAAAAGATTTATTTCTTTATAGGCCAGAGTATAGGCCAGAGGTGTGGGGGGTGAGAGGATTCACCACAGACAGAGTAGAGAATAGAACAGGCAGACTGACGGAAATACACTGCTGAGGGGAGCAGCAGGTATGACAGGAGAGGTCTGCTGCACCATGTGGGCTGCTCCCTGGCCAGCTGGGGATTGAACTCATGCTGCAGTAGCTGTGAATATCTTCATAGGTTGTGTCTTAACCCCTTGCACCACCAGGGAGGCCCCTGGGCTTTAAAATTTTAACAGTGATGTGTAAATATTGATTTCTTAATGATGAAAAGTATACTATCCCAATGTGAAATATTAGTAATCAGGAAAATTAGGTCGAGGACTTATGAGAATCCTCTATTATCTGAAATAATTCTTTAAATCTAAAATTTTCAAAATTGGGGACTCCCTGGTGGTACAAGGGGTTAAGCACCACACTATGAAGCAATCTGTAGCCTCTGCAGCATGAGTTTGATCCCTGGCCAACCAGGGAGCAACCCACCACGGTGCAGCAGACCTCTCCTGTCTCGCCCGCTGCTTCCCTCAGCAGTGTATTTCAGTCAATCTGCCTGTTCTGTTCCCTGCTCTGTCTCTGGTGAATCCTCTCCCCCCACCCCCGCCTCTCTGGCCTGTACCCCAGCTCTTGTATGCATAAATAAATCTTTAAAAAAATAAAAAATAAAATTTCCAAAATTTATTTAAAATATATGAAAATATATACCCTTTATTTCAATAATATGGGTGTACTTTTGTGTTTTTATTTTTAAAAACAAAACTGGTAACATCAGACCTTACTTTGCTGATGGAAATGTAAAAGAGTATACCCACTTTAAAAAATGATTCTATTCATATATCATTTCAGGAGTAATGGTCAGACTTAGCTACAAAAAAAAATTGTACAAGAATGTTGGTAGCAGCTGTTTTCATAATAGCCAAAAGCTGAAGAGTCAAATATCCATCAACAAGAAAATGAGTAAACAACCTGTGGTTTCTTCTTACAATAAACAAGATTTAGCCTCAGAAGGTAGAGAGCTACTTACATCCTCAGCAACATGGATGAATGTCAAGACAAGAAGCCACACAGCAGGCATGAGGAATCTAATGCAAAATGATTCAGAACAGTTTTATCTCTAAGTGAGGAGACATTTCTAAGGAGAAAAGAATTTTTTTGGGTGAAGAAAACTATCTTTGTCTTAATAGGGGTACAAATTATGTGGATACATGCTTTCATCCAAATTCAATGAATTGTACACTTAAGGATTACACATGTCACTGTATGTCAACTTTACCTTTAGCTGCAACTGTAAACAAACAAAAAAAGCAATGTCAATTTACCTCCACTGGTACAGCCCTTGAATTAAGTACATTTAAATTGTATTTTGATTGTCTATTAACATGCTTACTTCCATACATGATTTAAGATGATTTATATTAAGTTGATTGAGAATAAATTAAAATAGATGATTAGCATTTTTGCATATTTACTATGAAGCATCACTGGAGCAAAACACCTATGGAATAAATAGTACCCCCTTTTAAAGATGAGTAAAGTAGGACACAGAAAAAAATTCTCTTGCTCAAGGTTACTTAAAATAGGTAAAATTTCTAGTAGCTTTGTAACCTGCTTTTAACTAGGTGGAGAGGGGTTGGCATGGAATAGAAGTCAGGAACAATAATGTAATTGAACAGTGAATTCAGCTCTCAGTTTTCAGGCATCCAGGGTAAAAGAGACATAAAAATGAGCTGTGTAACAGAAATTGCCTGTTCTAAGGTATCACAGCATCTGACCAGGAGAAACTAGCATTTTCCTGACACTGAATTTTAAAAGAATTGGAGAACTCAGCCGAAGAGTGCTTGTGGAAGAACCATGAACAATATCATACATCATGTATTAAGAAAATAGCGGTTTTACAGAACATGCAGGCACGTTCCTGACCTGACCCTCTCTCACCCTGATATGCCATAAAAACTGGAAACCTGCAGCAGCTGCCTTGCTCAGTTAATGACCTTCCTGTTGATACAGTCTTCTTAGGGGCTCACTTCCAACATATCCTATTTCATTAATTGTAGTCTAAATTAATCATCCTATTAGTAATCATGCTAATTGAACTATTTGTTGTGAGTTCAATCTGATCTGCTACTCAGGAAAATAAACATCTTGGTTTATCCATGACATGTGTTCTCAAGAAACGGTTCACTTAGCACCCAGCTGTAAATCCAAATAAAATTGAGAAGAGAAATTTCCATAGACAAATGTTTTGGCTAACTGTCTCCTTTGGCATTTCAACTGAAATCTTCTCTTTAAAAAATATAGCTGCCATTTGAACTGAGATTTCTTTAGTTTATACCATTTCTAATTAGTGGCTCAGTTTAGTGCTGGCATTTCTCTTGCAGCAGCTGCAGTAGAATCACTGGGCCTAGAACTGCCTCCCCTTTTACCTCCATGCCACTTTCACTGAAGCTCACAGGCCCAGCACAAGTGCCAGGGGCGAAAGTTGCCCTGGACTATCTGCTCTGGTATATTCCTTAACACTTCAATGAGTGAATGGCAGTAGGAATCTGTCAAAATCATAGCTATTTCTGCTGTGGCTCCAAGTAAAGGTCTTAGAAGCAAAAGGGCTGTTAAAAGCAATCACACAATTGCAACTGGGTAGGGAAGGGGTTATTCTGTCTCTCAGCATTATAGCGCATAATATAAGCACTGATATCACAAGAAGATATTACATATTTCACATATTCACAAGAAATTGTGAAGATTCCCATCTTAAAGCTTCTGTTGAATCTATGGAAGCATCTTTGAGCTTGAGGTGAAGCTCTACGCTGGTGCTGCAGCAAACAAGTTATTCTTTCTCTTTCTGCATTGATACTAGAAATATTTGCAAGGACTTGGTTTTGAAAAAGCAATGGAGCGAAGGCCTATAGCCCAAGGGCTTGAGAAATATTTCTGTCCCTCAATGTCTTTTTCTCCAACTTGAGAATTTAGATTCATTTAGGGTTGAGTTAATGACCATAGAATAAATCTCCTCAAATCGTAGGATGTGACTGTATGTGACTATCAGGTAAACAGTCCTCCACTGAACTGCCCAATATGGTTGCCACCAGTTCCATGTAGCTTAATACATTCATTAAAATTTAAAAATTAAAATGTGCATTTCCTCAGTTGCATTGGCCACATTTCAAGTGCTCTGGAAGTAGGGAATAAAACATTCCTATCTTGACTGGAAGAGCTACTGGACAACTCTACTCCCTGTAAGAGAAAAAGGCCCTGCAGACCCAGCAGTAGACAATTAGGGTGTTGTTTTTATTATTCCCTCATAGAGAAGACCATGATATAGGACAGAGGCTTTTGGTCTGACTGCATAATTACTGATGCTCAATTAGGTCAGAGTCCTACTTGTCATGACGTTAACACATGCACCGTCATGTCCAAAAAATGCAGCATACTGAACATCTGACTCTAGTGCTCAGGTCCCTCTTGACTTTCTTCTCCACTCCTTTTGTCCATGTATCTCTCTTTATTGTCCTCCCTCTTTCTCTGATTATTTTTCCTTGCTTGCTCATCAGTGAAAGAAACCTATGCTCATTTATGCCCCACAAGTAAAAGATTCAATACAAGAAGTCATGTTGCTAGGTTTGAAGACAAACGTTTTGACACCAGACGCCTGCTCCTGAGTGACTTCTTTGCATATTGTTATAAAATATTTCTATTTTCCTTCTGAGGACTAATAGCATCCACCAAGATACAGTGAAATCTTTGGGTATGTTGCAATGTCTTGCCAGACGGATGAACTGGTAACTGTCCAAGCTTATCAAAATGCTATTGTGATGTCAAGACAGCTGCAAGACTGTTTCCAGAAAGCCTAATTACAGTGGCTGGGAGATGAGCTTGAAAGGATAAATGCTGTCCCTAAGTAAGATAAGCCAGTGGAAGTTTACAAATGTATATTCCCGTCCTCCGTGTCTCCTCTGTTACCAACAGGCAGCCAAAAAGTCAGCGGGGTTCTTTCAAAGTCTGTCTTTCCATTAGGACTTAGTGGCATTGGCAATGAAAGGTGAGACAGAAGGGCATGCAAAATGGAGTTGAATGCCACCCTGGAACCAAGTTCATTATGCTGAGAATATACTTGTTGCTATGCTAATGGGACAGGATTATATTTCTCTGACTATTTAAAATTTTCCAGCACAAATGAGGCAGTGTAGTGGGGCTGTTACATCATGTAGCTTTCTGGAAGGGCTGGTGGCGCCTCTCCATTTACACCTCCTCCTCTTGCACATGGCCCCTTTCCTGGTGAGAAGATGCTCTAGCTTTTTACAAAGTGGTCCCATTTGCTAGGAAAACATGGTGAAATTCAATTAGGGCTTGTAATAGCCAGATTTCATGAGAAACCCATAAAGGTAAAAACATCCTGGTGACATTCCAAACATGTTCTACAAGCACCCACCCATCCGTCTCACAGTTCCATGGCTGCTCCATCAATACCATGTGTGGGGAGGGGTAGGAGGAGGGCCACTCAGTTGAAAAGAAGGGCACAGTTTAAAGATTTGGTTTAGGTGTTTGTTTTTGTCTTCCAGTTAAACTGGGCTCCACGGTGTGGAGAAGACAACAGCAAAGAGACATAAAGCTGGAGAAAGTAGAAGAGAAAGAAAAGGCTCATATTTGAGAAGTTTATCATTTACTGAGGATAGTTTAAAACACACCCAGGAAACAAGACAGACTAAGTTTCACCGGGAAAAAAAAATCTCCTAAGATCATCCAGAAAACAGCCTAAAATCTATATCTCATTTCAACTTACACCTGAGGATGCCTGAATCCCCACACATCTACATTACTGAAGGTGAGGAACCACAACACCCTTGGATTTGGCAGGGTCCTAAGAGGCAGCGCAGAACCCAAAACACAGCAGAGCCGGGCACCCATAGTGGCAGCCACAGCTGGCAGTGCCAGAGCCAGGAATCAGCATAGGAGGGTCCAGATTTGGGGGAAATATATCTCTAGAACACCTGCCTCCTGCCCCTGAAGTTGGAGGTGGTGGTCAGACTTTGAACTCCTGCAAATTTTCATTACCTGGAGTGGTGGGTAGAGGCCCCTCTCCCCATCCCTCGGAAAAGTAGAGAAACCTGTTTCCAGCATCTAAGCTTCAACCTCTACCAGCTAAAAAATTTGCCCCATATCTCCCTCAGCTCCTGACCAGCTACAGTGGTGTGAGCTCTGCTTGCTACAAGGAAAACTAGCAGCTGGATGGGCATAGATGTGACTTATCAGGGCCACTGCTGGCAACTTAACTGGGCATCTCAAAGAATATCTGATCCTCTCCACTTGGACTCCTGGGGCTTCCTGACTATTGAAAAAGTCAAGCACTTCCTACTTTAAAGAATAAAGACAGCCTGGAAGAGTTAAGCTATACCTTGGCTATTGGCAGCTAGCTTGAAGTTCCAAAAGATGCCTCCCCCACAATCCATGTGCCCTCCCCCACATGGATTTCAGGGTCTTTCTCTGGTCTCATAGGCTACTGCAGACCAGTAGAACATAGTCTTCCTGCCACCCCCAAAAGAGCACTGATCATTGAGAAGTCGTGGAGTTGACACACAACTGTGTGACACCACCACACAGGCTTCCTAGATCCCCTAGTGCAACACATCTGGACAAGTGCCACATACTCTAAGAAGTGTTGATTGCTAAGCTGATGCTGAGCTGATAGCACCTTGGGCTGCTGACGGCTAGCTTGGTGACCCCAAAGCAAATCGTTCTCCTATTTGGTTTTAGCAGGCATTTGGGTAGCCTAACTTCTACCGAATCTGAAACTTCTCCCAATACCTGCCCAGACCCTTGCATCACTATTTACAATAGCCAGGTCCTGGTAACAACCTATATGCCCAAAAACAGATGAACTGATTAAGAAGATGTGCTATATATACACAATAGAATATACTCAGTTATTAAAAAAACAAAGATGAAATCTTACCATTTGCAACAACTGGTAAGGATGGAACTGGAAGGATTATGCTAAGTGGGACAAGTCAGAAGGAGAAACAAACACTGGATAAACTCACTCATGTGTAATGTGAAAAACAAACTAAAGGAGTAAACCAAACCAAACCAAAAAAATTCCTAGAAATCTGACAGTAAAACTGAGGCTACTAGAAGGCGAGAGTGGAGTTATTAGGAGCATTAGGAGGAGGGGCTCAACAGACTCTGGTGGAAGATTACTGGTGTGTTGGTGGTAGGCGTGGTGTGATAACGTACATTTGTAGAAGAGTGACACCACTCTCCCTAAAACATTCAGTGTTGTAAATCAATGTTACCTCAGTATACATAACTAAAACAAGGTGATAGCATCAATTAATAATTGTTAACCCAAGTACCTGAAATAAAGATTAACTCGAAACCAACAAATAAACCTTTGGGCCTCTCAATTCATCCACCTGTCTTAATTACTACCACTCTCGTAACCTAACATCTTCTCACAATAAATTCTAGTCTTCTCCCAACTGCTTTGCTTCAATGCATTTATTCCCTTCTACAAACCAAGTGACATTTTAACTTGTGTTTAAATCTCTTCAGTAATCTTTAGTGTTTTAAGATAAAGACAACCTAACAGAGTTTACAGGCTCTATAAATTCCAAGTCCTCCCTATCTTTCTTAGAAGCTTCAGCTCACATGACTCTCAGTCAGCCCTGCCCTTTTCTCAGTCTCTCTTAAGCATCTCATTCTTTCGAGCTTTTTTTTGTTTTTTTATAAGGTGTATTTTTTTTTTTTTTTAAGATTTATTTATTTATTTATGCAAGCACTAGGTACAGTCAGAAGAGGGAGAGGGTGAGAGAATTCACCAGAGCCAGAGCAGGGAGCAGAGCAGGCAGAAGGGCCGAAGTACACTGCTGAAGGGAGCAGCGGGTGGCAGGAGAGGTCTGCGCTCCACGTGGGACCATCCTCTGGTGGCCGGGGAGCAGACGGGGATTGAACCAGTGCTGCAGAGACTGCGGGCAGCTTCGCAACCCAGCACTCAACCGCTGCGCCACCAGGGAGGCCCCCTTTCGAGCTTTTTGCATATGCCTGTCTCTTCTGCCTAAGATTTACTCTCTTCACCGATTTAATGCCAATTCAACTTTTAACTCTCAGTACAACAGATATTTCATTAGAGAGCCTTCCCTAACCTAACTAGGCAAAGTCCTTTATGATATATGGTTTTCTTCTATCCTAAACTTACCTCTGTAATTGTTATCAAGGTTTAGTTTTTACACTCATTGTGTGAATGTCTGACCAATACTCCCTACCACCCCACTCTACCCTTAGCTTCAAAAGAGCAGGGGAAATGGCTTTCTTGCTTAGTTATATTCTTGGGGTCTACCTAGCACCTGACATTTAGTAGCACCTCAAAAATATTTGAGATAGATAACACAAAATATTTCCCAAAGGCACGGGACCTAGCACCTAGCATTGTAATAATTTCTAGGTAAATTATTATTGCTTTATCAAAAGCAGTTAATAAAGATTAATTGACAGAAAAATGGCAAGCACAGTAGGAAAAGGATTTCTGGGTACAACAATGGGCATATTAAGGAGAAAAGTCCATTAGGCGGTCTTTCCTTGATTTGGTGGATTTTAGTTGAGATGAGCCAGACTCAACATGTTCTAAAACACATGGCCAAAAGCAACAGTAGGGTCTCTTCTTTGAGGAATACACATTCTTGAATTTTCTTTTATCTGACATTAGAAGCAAAAAGAGGAACTGCATGGTCTCTGTCAAACCTTCAGATCCCCAATTAAATTATGCAAATGTACCAATGAGCTTACTGAAGGGTCAGTTGCAGAGTGTTAAAAAATAAACCTTCCAAAAATTAGACAAACATATTGACTTGCTATTTTCCCAAACAGAGGAAACTTCAGCTCACCAAATAAGGTAAATATATAGTAAAGTGTCTAACATTTGTCTTGTATGTTACAACATGGTATGTATTTAATCAATGTTCAGTCTAGTGCAATTTATGTGATGGTATTTTATACTGTTTCTCCTGGTCTGACATGACAGCAGTTCTCAAAACATTGATGTAATGTCATCCTGGATCTCCATCCAAGACAGTGTGTCTACTCTGAAACATTCATCCTGGATTTTGTGACTCATACTCCTGTGTATAGTTCCTTTAGTCACCCTGAGTTCCTAATACGATGGATGTTAGCTTGTTCATACCAACACTGTACCAAACAATACATTTTTGCGTTGTCCAATTGTCATTTCTAAATTGAGACATAAAAAGATAGTCTTAACTCACAATACTAAATCCATTATTGATCTTCCTTATGATAGTCTATGGCTAAGTCCCACAAGTGTTGAGAAAATTTTATAACAAATGTGTGTTTGCATGTTATATTTAAATTCTAGCATTAAGGTAAACTAGAAACTTGAACTTAATGATTTTGTGAGTAAGCTTGTCCAAGAAAGGCTCAAATTTATTATATTTTTGAGTTTTACTTAATTTTATAAAAACAAAAAATGTTCAAATTTGTTAACATCATTCTTAACTGGTTAATTATAGTATAAACACTATGATTTGTATACTGAAATAGAAAAAAATATCCTTAGAGACATGTTTAATCATTTGGATCTAGTAGTGTAGTGTTTATTCATTCATTTTTAGTCCATTAGAGTGTAAATTAGATTTGATTTGCTTGCTCTGATTGGCTTAATTGCCTCAGTTACAGATGAAGTACAAATAAAATTGTAATAAATTGAACAGCTGTTTAACCTACTCTACCAAGATCTTTAATAGTCAATTCCAATTGCAATTTCCATCCAGCAATTTAACAAGACCCTTAGGAAACCTATTTGATTATTAAAACAAGCTGTTTGTTTCTGTATGTAATGAAAACAAGACCACTGTGTCATGTGTTTTGGTTTGGTGAAACTTTTTTTGTATTTAATTTTATCTTTTGTGAGTAAAATATATGTCTATATACACATACATACACACACACACACACAAACCCACTAACACTTGCACACATAAATGAATGCATAGCTGCAGAAGTTAGCTAGCCTAAAAGATGGACATCACATTCAAATTAATGTTAAAGGAAAATTTTCCAAAATTATGAAATATTTCATGAAGAAAAAAATCCAATTGCATTTTCCACAAGCATCTTACCTATGTCTTTTTTATTTTTTCAAGACCAACGGGAGAAACCCACCTTACTTAAAGCATCAATTAGACAACAAATAACCAATTCCACTATTCAGATTTTGCACATCACTCACCCATGGCCCATGGAGAAATGAAAACTATCCTTACAAAACATGCATGATATTTCACTGTCTTATGCAATCCTTTTGCTTTAAGTTGACTGTTAAAATGCTGTACAACTTTTGCATAATCTTTTGTGACACTCAAGAAACACTCACAAAAAACATCACAATGCATCTCTTATATTTTCTCAAAAAGGAATTTGAGAAGAATTTTATGTCTAGTTCTATAATTTTTTTTAAAGATTTATTTATTTTTATGCAAGAACCAGGGTACAGGCCAGATGCGCGGAAGGGTGAGAGGATTCACCAGAGACAGTGCGGGGAACAGAACAGGCAGACTGAAGAAATACAATGCTGAGGGGAGCAGCGGGCAAGACAGGAGAGGTCTGCTTTGCCATGTGGGATTCTCGCTGGCTGGCTGGGATGGAACTGGTCCTGCAGAGGCTGCGGACAGCTTCACAGTGCGGCATTCAACTACCTGCACCACCAGGGAGGCCCTAGTTCTATAAATTTATATGTAAACTTTTTTTTTTTTTTTATAGAGGCATGCTTTATTTATTTGTTTGCTGGTTTGTTTGTTTTGTTTATACATGCACTGGGTACAGTCAGAAGCGCGGGAGGGTGAGAGAATTCACCAGAGCCAGAGCAGGGAGCAGAGCAGGCAGAAGGACCGAAGTACACTGCTGAGGGGAGCAGCGGGCGGCAGGAGAGGTCTGCGCGCCATGTGGGACCCTCCTCCGGTGGCCGGGGAGCAGCCGGGGATCAAACCGGCGCCGCAGAGGCCGCGGGCAGCTTCGCAACCCAGCGCTCAACCGCTGCGCCACCGGGGAGGCCCTATATGTAAACTTCTAAAGAAATTCCCAGCTATACATTTGGGCCATGTTTAGGGACTAGGAAACCTAGTTTACTGAAAAGATAATCTTAGATTATGGATATAGAATTGTTGAACTGAAAACCAAATAGACTTTAGAGCCAAAATTCAAATGTGTATAGGAATCAGAAAAATAGTTTAAAGGAATGAGGCTCCCAGATGGAGCCACGGGGGACTGGAGAGTACCCACATCCTTTTAAGGGGGAACAGACTCACCTGGCTCCTCTCCATGCAGTCATTCCCATGCAGGTCAGAAGACACAATTCTGATTTTTCATAAATCA